TATATATATATATATATATATATATATAGTATATATATATATATATATATATATATATGTGTGTGTGTGTATGTGTGTGTGTGTGTATGTATGTGTGTATGTATGTCTTGCAGACTTTGTAATGCTTTAATTAAATCGGCCCACTCAACTAAGGCCCAAATGCTGGTTTGAGCTCCAAGGATGCTCATCAATCTGGGATTTGTGTATAACGATTCCAAAAACCCACAAAATCATACTCCATCGCGTTTGCGAGACACTCCTGTTATCAATCCCACGCTTGAATCTCAGTGCCCTCCAGCTACTACACACCCAAACCAGGTACCCATCGTATCTGCAAGCTGTATACGCCATCAAAACGTACATGGTCACAATCCTTTAGACGTTCTGTGCACCCAATACTGTATCGTCTTATCTGTCCACTACGCGTCGACCACCATCAACTCACGTCTGTCTCCTCCACACTTGGTTTGCTCATCCATGAAGGATGTGCTACCAACCGGAAAACAAAAGCCTCAATTGCCCCGTATGCGATCCTTTGTTGAATAAGCTGGCTGAGAAGTTGCCGTTCTCTCACCGTTTGCACTCGAGTTTGGTATGCCGCATCTCGGGCGAGCTGATGAACGACCACAATCCGCCTATGGTTTTGCCAAACGGCTATGTCTACAGCGAAAAGGTCCGTAACTGTTTCTTATATCAAGTAAATTTGTTTCGATGTGTTCCGTGTGTCAATACTGTGCATCGGCGTAGTTGACGAATGGCCTCAATCCGTCTATGGTGGATAAGCGACTATGCCACCAGCGGAAAACTCCGTATATGTCCCATTAAACAAATGAATATGCAGTCCGATGTGCGTATATTGTGTGTCTCGTTGTAGATCAAGGGACTTGCTTAATCGCCAGAATTAGCCTATGATGTTTGAAGCGAAATGTGCCTACTTATGGCCATGAAGAAACCTGTTCTTTATGTGTGGTATATGTTAGCTGAGGAATTCTCACAATCCACACGCAATAGCAGCGAGAATATATGTTCTATTGAGAAGCCATTGTGATGTGTTTTATGTGTTTTTGTCCTATTTGTGTCTTACCTTACTTACCAGGTGGGTTCGGCTAAACCCTAAATCGGTGTGACGTCGGGATTTTCTTAATGTATCTCATACCGTTGCCAATTGACACAAATCTGCATTTGGTGAGACTCACATCTCGTTTTTACTGCATATTCACCTTCAGGCGATCAAAGAAATGGCGACCAGACACGACGGGAAAATTATATGTCCACGCGGAGGGCAGCGTTATAGGCTCGACGCCGTGAAAAAAGTCTACGTTATGTGAGCGACTCTTGCGACACTCAAGATGAATCCGAAACTATCATTCCACCGGATCTACATATAACTTACGTATACTGTCTGAACTCGATTGGAAACAAATTCTGCATGCATGTTGACGTTACTATACGTTCCTACGCTCCGCTTACATTTGTGTAAAGACCACATGCCTACCTGCACATTGGGAACAGTAGTATTGGATATGCCAGGTGAAACTATGTTAACTGACTCAGCTACGGCGACGGAGCATATGACTCCAGCGACCCGCACCTTGTTAAATATCATTGTAGCCACAACAGTCTCTGTATCGCGGGACTCTTTTCTACTGCAATTGTGCATTTTATAGCAGCTTACCGGACGAAAAGGTTCTGTATGCAGATGTGGCACGCGAATATTTGAACTTTACGCATCGAGCGGTTTGAGATTTGAGACTCGAGGCAATCAACCAAGATATGCCGCCAGTTGTATGAAGGGCGTGTCCCAGATATGCTTATTAATAGATACATCACTCAGATGTTTGGGCTGTTAAACGTATTCGAGTGTATACATATGCCGACGATAAGCATTTTGCTCGCTTGCGATCTGGACACCAGCACACATGCCACGGATATATCAAAATCAGGAAGGGTGATCAAGGAAGGCCTGTGTTGTCATAAAAATGTTTTTTAACAACCCTGTATGTTAAGATACTACAATTTTGGATTTTAACTTTCTTTTTTGTTTGGGTCTTAAACGATTCCACTACAAAGTGTATATAAATATATCAGTGATGGCTACTATCTGCATCAGTCTTCGGCTCTTGGAAATATTGGAAAATCAACTATGTATTTGAGAGCCCGACATTGTATTTGCTATTGTATACTAATATACTGGGACTGCGTGCTGCCAAACTACAAACACACTTGTTCCATTGAATTGAAAACGGCACAGGATTGAAAATATTGTATCCAAGTTTGCGATGTACGCTAAAGGCTGATTGATATTTATAGCCGGGACTATAATAATAGTGGCAGAACTTTATCAATATGTCATTAGAGTATCGAAATTCAAAGTAGAGATTTTAATCCACCTTCTAAAGATGATCGCTTGATTATTTATGGCCTAGCTCAATTGTATCGACGCTAAACATGTAACGGACAATGCCAGAATATCAACCACTATACTACAAAGAATTTTTCTTGCCGTACTGAATATTTGGGTATTTATCTGTCAGACTGCAGTAAGAAAAACCCGAAATTGTACAAGCTAGATCTGAATTATAATCCACTCGAGGTTGACCTTGGTACATCTGTGATAAGCAAACTATATATATAAGTCGTTTGAAGTATAATTTTTTATTTGTCAGAGAGTTCATCTAATGTTTACATACAACGACAATGCGCTTTGTGACCTACTCTAACTGCAGCGTATAAATAATAAGTTGTAACTTTTATCTTCTTTTAGAAAAAATCATGTTTTGCATATGAGCTGCTGCTTCAAGATCAAGTTTTGTCCCCGTCTCACATGAATGTCCAAGTGATATTTACATACAAGTTGTGTCCCCACAAGCGTTGATTATGGGAATACTGTAGAGCACGCATGAATACATACTACGGTTCACTGTAATATGCAGACGGCGTTGTTGTGATTCCTGCACGATAGAGTTTTGTACAAACGTAACCTTGCGTCCCTTCTGTAAATCGTTTGGGATAGGCTGTCTTGATCGTGGGAGTTCACTAAATCGAATAGCAGTTTAAAACTATATTTTGATACAGAACGTTTTTGAAGTTGCGGAGCAGAGCGTGTTGTTGAAAGATACCGCATCTAAAAATAGGACTATACAAGAGGTTGGTAGACAAGTATCGAATTTTAATGCATTGAGCTGTGCTGTACTCTTCCTGGTGAATTTCGACAGACAATTGTTTTTCGTATGCGTGTGCTAGTCCCAAAAACATATGCTAATCATATTGGTAATGGCTATCTTGGACTTCACCCTTGCTTCAGAATCTGATGTAGACATATGTATTGATCCATAATAGAGTCACCTGCCTCAGGCCCGGAATTCCTTCCACCACATCTACATTGCGGTCTCGCATGCGCTTCTTCAACAGTTATTCGAGACCGCGTTCACACCCTCGTATCGGAAAATCCACAGCGGCTTCTCATCCTGTTCAATTATGCCGTCATAGAAGTCGGTATACCAAGGGTGCCAATTGAATAAACTCTCCACTAGTTACGCATCGAACTTATAGATGTTGCGCTCCTTAGTGTAGTATAACGGGTTCTTGAACACGACCTTCATGCTTGTGAGCCTATTTGATGATTTCCTCTATGTAGTCAACGTAGCGCTGCGTTGCTTCTTGTACCATTCTCGAGCTTATTTGTTATTCTTGGTGACAGCATCGGAGAGATATTCATTGTCTGTGCTAAGCACATCATAGCTACCTGTAACACAGCCTCGTAAAATTTTGTTTAATCGTGGGAAGTACATGGCGAATGAGATCATCATGATGAAACCACATATCTTTCCACATCGTGCCGTCCGAATTGTAGCTTTGATTGCGCTTTCATGCGTACTTCTTGAATCTCTTGTCATCAGGAGTCTCCCTATCCACAGTGCCTACAGACATGCTCCGCGCTGAATTCTTCTTCTTCGATTTCATTGCTCTTCCGACGGCTTTTAGGTTATTCTTAAAAGCCAAATTCGAAAACACGAAGTCTGCACCACTGTAATTGGTTTCAAGCTGTTTCTGCGTGTCCGACCATTCCGGATTGCATAGAAAGCGTCTGTTCGATTCTGCTCGGCGCGGTACCGACATTGCCATGATCTGAATCCCTAAAGAGCCGATATTGATATATATATATGTACAACTTACTTTAACCCTGTCATGTATAATATTGTCGATGCTGACCGTGTGAACAGATATGTTCTGCGGGCTGTTTCGTCAGCAATGATGGTTCGGTAGTCATTATTGGTATGAATCGTGCGTTTACGTGCCTATGCATTTGACTAAGAAAAGTGACACGAAGTTGAATTGTATGTCTGGAGCTGTCTGAATTACTGATGATTTTTCGTAAATACCTGCCGGTTAGGTTTTCCATGTTGTCCAGAATTAGTTTTAGATCTGTATATAAGATTACGGGCATCTGGGCCCGCTGGAAGTGCGATGAGCGTGCTAGATGCCAGGACCACTGGGAACATATTGGTGTGGCCCATGATCGTAATTCGGACACCTAACACTAGCTTGAGAACTACTGCATATCTCTCACTGCCGTCCTTACGGCGGATGACAACCACTTTTTTTGTGACTGTCTTTGTTAGGGAAGCCTGGAGGATGATGTAGGGTTGGTGAATAATGTCCACAGGTGGCGGCAGCTGGGAGTAAGCATTAGCTGGTGGCAAGAAGCTGTCAAGCCATTCACATCAGACGATGGCGCCCTTGTCATGGTTCAAGATATCCTTCTTGGTGCGAAAAGTAACCAATAGGTTGAAAAGTTGTATGTTAGTCTCGTACTAGTACATGGTAAAGCAAAACTGAATATCCTAAACATGGGTAACCCGAGCGTCGTTCCGGGCCAGCAGGCAAGGGGCTACCCAAAGACTAATAAAGAGAGTCACCTGGCTTCACGTGACTGAGGGATATCCACCAGCCGTGTTTTGGTACTTGTTTTATCGGATCCTTTGTGTCGTAGATCTGGCGGACGGGTTTCGAGACAATTTTTGAGCCTCTAGTCCACCATGACTCCTTCAATAAATTTAGGCCAATTCTTGTCGATTTGGATCTTGTAGGATTTATTCTATATAGCATCAACCTCATTGATGAGCTTGTTGAGAATTCGGTCGGTATAGTCCAGACCCGTGAAGTTTGTTGTCCATCGGGCTATCGGGGTCTGGTATGTGTGAATATATATATAATCATACACCATCTCTACATTTGAGTGTCACGCATTGCCACAAGTAGCAAATATTCTGTTCGTGGATACAACTGCTTGCTGGTGTACAGGAAGCGTCTAACTTCTTTGGTTGTCAGCAAGTCTACAATAGCTAGCATGTAAGGCCTAGTGCCCAGTTGGTGCGGTTGGTTGTATAGTTTTTCGGGCGAAAGTTCCCAGGAGAGCATCATAGTCAATTGGTACCCACGGGGTTATTCTTGACGTTATAACTGTTGTCTCATAAAAGACGAGGGTACCGTTGGGGTCTGATACCTTCGACAAAAGGGTGATTTCGGTTAGGTGTCAAAAGGCATTTGGCCATTGCCACCGAACCGAGGTATATACAATGTGTTCATGCCAAGTATGAAGACAAAGAAACGTTACACGCCACTACAACACGCATGTGCACAACTTCTATTGATAAGCTGCCCCGAATCTATTGCAACAGCTTTTGTCGGCATGTTTGGTCGGAAAAAATAAAATCAGTGTAGATGCCAAGAGGCATACAGCCATCGCCACCAAACCAAGGTATACACAATGTGTTCATGTCTTGTAAGATAAAATTGTGTTGTATTGCAAATTTTTTTTTTGTCAGCACGACTGGTCGGACTCTCGTGCCGTTGTATATTTTGACTGGTAGGTCCTCATACCTGGCCTCTGTTATCGGTCTTGGACAGTTTCATCAGTAAGTCATTCCTTCTTGGTAGTTACCGATGCTACTGTTGTGTTCTGCGGGCTTTTGTAGCGGAAATGTCCCGTCATCTTGCAAATGTCGCAAACAGGGCAGATCTCCTCCCAATGTCGAATGCTACACATAGTACATTATTTGCTTATCGAGGTGGGCGTACGGCTGCGTCCCCGATCAGAGTGGTCTCTGGATTGTGAGCATGCTCTATTGTGTGATTTGGTTATCAATTGATAGTGTCCGCTAGAGTTAGTATGTGTATGGTGTCATTGGTTAAAGGGTGAGGGGTGTCTAGTGTTGGTGGAATGTGGTGGGCGTACAGGGATTTCCTTCTTACTTGTGCGTTTATAGTGGGTCAGATATTTCGCTGCAAGGACTGTAGTGGAGGCTAATCCATTCGTATCATAGTAGTTGTATATGCTCTCGAGATTGAGACCAGCATAAGCGTTAGTGATATTGGTCCGGACTGCAACCGTGAGATGCAATAGTCGTTCTTTCAGAGAAGGTCTGGATCCCGGGGTTCTTTTTAACACTGAAAAGCATCATTTTCATGAACACTCCCTGTCGATTAGTATTCCGCTGGATTCCAAACAGATGGGTTGCAAAGCTATACGTGGGGGTTCACTGGGGTCTGACTGTTGTCCGGGGTGCTGGGTTCTTCAGGCGCATGGTCAAGCGGCCATTTCGCCCTTTAATATATACCATGCCATCTGCTCGGCGGTAGTTGTCCCTGTCGTGTTCGTCGTTGCGCTGCTTGCGCTGTTCCTCATTCGTACGGCGTTTCTTATCGGCTGAGATGGAGACTCGGAACTGGGTAACCGAGATGTAACACAGCAGGTTGACGTAAAGGTAACGACTCATGACCCTCATTGGGGTCCCAACTCGCATTTGAGCGTCTCCTGCGAAAATGCGCGTAAACCTCGTGGTCCGGTCTTGCTGCCAGGGTCTACTTGCACGATGCGGCGAGGTCCATCCAAGCATTGAGTTAGTTCGTAAAACGTCAAGGCTTAATTCCAGTGGCCCTTAAGTCACAGCCAAAACCTAGTGGTCTTTGAAATGCCAGGGACTTTTGGCAGTAGCTCTTGATTGTCAGCGGCCTATTCTAGTGGCGCTTCCAAATTCAGAAAGTCAGGGCCTGATGAGAATGGTCGTTAAAAAATAGGGCCTTTTTTTTTTTGGTTAACTGTTGAGTTAGTTCTTCCAAGCTGAGGGCGTGGTACGAGTCCCTCGTTAGGCGGTCCCGTAGGTCCTTCGTGCCTTGGGCTTTTGTACGGCCAATTCCACATTCCACGGCTGGCTGCTCGGAAAGGGCTCGGGTCCCAGGGTCTAGGGCTCGAGGAACGTTGTCGCTTTTGTATCCGGCTTGGATGTATGCCGTCGAGACCTGGTCGTGACTTTTCGGTCGTGGCTCGGTGAGACTGGCTGTTGCTAAGGAATTGGGGCGTGCATGTTGTTGATACCCCCGTTGAGCAGGCTCCAGTATACTCATGCTAGGGACAGCGTATCCCGGAACCTCGGGGTGGGCCTGGCGGGGGTGAAGCTTAAAGTCCAAACGGTAAATGATGGCCTTCACTGCGATCTTGGATGCTACGCTTTGAAAGGCATGCCTTTTCTTATAAAGGTTCTTCCACATTTTCTCCTCAAAGCCGGTAAGTGTACGTGCTCAAATCAGGGGAGTATTTCTTTGTTATATTAAGTAGAGTGAGGACCCATGACGTGCCATCAAATGACGAATTACATCCGTCACCGTGGCCTCAGGGTCAATTTCGAGGTGGACTTTGCAAATCAACCCGCCATCGTTCTCACCATGGCAAAACTTACGATGCTGTTCTCTAGTGTACACCCATATATGATATAGGGAACCATAGATCAGCTCTCGGAGTAGCTCCCAACATTCCTGATTAAATAATTATGGCGGCTAGTTGTGATTTAGGGACCGTTAGTGATTGCCATTGGTTAGGGTTTCTTGGCAGCTTCTTTTTTCGCCCGTCAAACTAATTGTTAGCTGGTATGTACGTATGTACAAAACAAATATTTCAAGACAAGTATTTCAGTTTAACTAATTGTTTATTTTAAAGTAGTACTTCTTGCAGACATACTTCAAGGAGCGTTGAAATAAGAGATTAAGGCACAGCGAGCCGTTTCATACAGGCAGTCTAGTTCAGTCTCCGGCGTCAGCAAGACAACTGCTAGCCGTTGTACACATAAACTTGTGTACAATAACGTTCATTAATTTTAAATTATTATTACCGAACTAAGCCAGAAAATTTCTCACTTGCAAATCAATGGAGAGTACTGATCATCATGGACAATTATCAAGCAGGTCTCAAATTTTCAAAATGTAAATAGCTTTTTAGGTCTCACTTCTGAAGAAAAACTAAACTGCCAGAAATATATTATACTTTTGCAACATTCAAAGTAATTGGAGACGCTGATCAGATGGAAAGATTCCATCCATTCCGACGGGGTGATTTGCGACCTTTATTATTTCAGCCTCCTTTGTAGCTAATTTTGCCGATGCTCCTCTAATGCGAGGGCCTGAAAGGTGATGATGAGGGCTCGTGATTGCTAGGCAAATAGCAAGGTACTTAAAGTTGAAGCCGAACTTTGATGAGGAATTACAATGTGTTTCTGAATTAGAATTTTATATGATTAACCTGCTGACTTGTAAATGATTGAATGAATCATATCGCACTTGCTCCCGAGTTGTTAAAGCCTAGATTGCCGTGTTGTGGTGCGCTTCATGCTGCTAATCTACAAGGAAATTGGTCGCGAGAAGTCATGTTATGTGCCATAATTCTTATGTTTCTATCTTTTTGATGATGTACCGGTCATGTACCCAACAAAAGTGCACCCAACAACTTTCTCTCGGTGGTCATGAGGGTTTTATGTCATAGAAGCAAACCGGCAATTCATTCAGTTACATGCAAGCACATGATCCACAAAATAGGAATATAAAATGCGAGGTATGAATGCGAAGCCTATGAGGATGAACTGGTATACGCTCGGTTTCTTATCCCCTCGAGGGTGAAGTACATGGTTATATCAAGAAAAGAAACCGAACAGATTACAAAATGTGGTAGTGAATTCTCCGAATACCTATATAATTATACATATTGCAACTGCACCATAATACCACCATGGACCCTCATGTGGTAAATTTCCAAAAATTAGATTTTGTTAATAGGAGCTTTGTGGAGAAATTTTTTACTGAAATAGCAGGCGAGTACTTCACAGCTACTGCTAAGTTACCTCCTTGGCATTTAAACTGTCCTTCGATATAGTAATTTTAACTGAGTTGAGTGAGTTGCCACCCCTCATGCTATTTAACGGTACGTCATGCGATGAATCCGAGTTTTGTGATTTTAGGTGTCCAATTGGACTTTGTACAGTCGGTGATGTGCTTGTCATCTTGACACCCTTCTGAGAGCCTTGTGAGGCGCCTCGTTGTGACAGTGAGTTGTGTGTCATGCTCGGAACGGATTTGACGGTCCCTGTTGAAAAGCCCACTTATAAAGAATAGCACAACAAATGAAGTTTGAATTCAGCTCAGCGTTGAAAAAAAGAGACGGATGTTCGATAGAAGGTTCAACCGAGTACAACTAATAACTACAATGATGCAGGCATCAAGAACACGGTACAATGTAGCGTGTAATATTGCGTGGATTCAACAACAACTTACTCATATTCTGATCCAGAGTCTGATTGAGTGCGTTCATCTTCTCATTTATCCCATTGATTCCTGTAGTAATCCCTTTTGCGGTAAACGACATGATGTCATCAAAGAAGCTGGAGGTGGACTCTGGCGCACTTCTGCCGCCAGGACTCTGTTCTCCTATTCAAGTATGTGATATGAGACACAGTGATTAAAATAGCTGCCATATTGTATATATTAAAAGTAAATTTCGCTCCTGTGCACCTATATTGCCGGTCACATTTGAACCCGAACAACTTCTCGGATAATTTTAAACATCCTCGAATCTCGAATTTCAACACAAACTTACCAGGTCTGTTTCTGATATCCAAGCTTTGAGACGAGTCCACATTCACCTCGCCGCTACTCCGACTTCCAGGTAAGGCACTGTCGGAGTCGCGCAATGTTCCGATATTGAGTGATTCATGCGATTCCGGGATATTCTGGTCATCCTTTGTGTGTAGCATCTGCATAAGCCAGCCTTCAAGTACAGCAGCCCCGGCCCTGCAGTCTTCCGAATGCCCTACTAGAGACAGGAAACCTGCACAAGAGATTTGAAATTGGCGTCAAACGTATGATGGGTTTTAGAGTTTAATATATATATTCGTATGATGAAAATCAGACGGAGAAAGCATGTTTCAGACGGAGAAAGCATGTTTCACACAGGAGGTTTAAAGTTGGGTGATATGAATTGTTGTTCTATAATCGGACTACTTTCGGTGTGCCATTGTGACAGTACAGTATGAGCTTACAACGTGTGCAGTCGAGAAATGCACACCATGCGGCAATATTTCGAATAGTAGGTACCCAATGGGATCGTTGCACAAACTTACACTGAGAATGTGGCAGTATAGTATAAAGTTCTACAATATACATTATGTGGTAGATGATGAAAAGACCGGTATCACACGATGCTGCCGGTTCCGTACATTAGATTACCAATAGAGCAATATCGTATAAACTTGCACTGGCCTTGTGCGGGGTTAGGGTTTAGGATTTAAGGATCGGCGTTTAGGGTTTTGTACGGTTTCATACAAGTATACCAAATACATACCATGGGGCAGCTGCTCGAACACTCGGTACTCCATGGGATGACCTATACCGTACAGTCGGTGTGCCAATGTGACACTATCGTCCAGCAACGGATCGAGTTCAGCCGCAGCCAAATAAACCGGCGGCAGCTGTAGATTGCATAGTAGAATTGTACAAAAGATAGGGGGATAAGCCAATGTACCAGATAGAAATTAATCAGTTACTTACTTGGACATATGCATACTTATGAATAGTTGCAGACTCATACAAGGGCACGAGTAAGCGGGTACATCATAAATTGCATACAAATATAAAGGTAGTGAGATGGTATATTCCAGCCCATATAGACTAGTCGCGGCTAAGCTAAAATACAAAGGGATATTGGTTTTCCTTATTTCCATACCTTGTTGATTGCGTGACAGCTCTCCAGGCATACAAGAATTTCACCCAAAGGTAGCAAAACTCAAAAATTGACAATGAATTGGTAGTCAATAACAGCGTGTCTTCGTACTATAGATGTTACTACGGGTAAGTATATATATATATATATATATATATATATATAAATGTATATATATATACACATATACATGTACATATATACATACATATATATATATTTATAAATATAATATATATTAATCCATACATATATATACATATATATGGACTGCTTAAATGTACCTGTCTAAGTAAACTATCCGAAGCCAATGCAGGCGACAGTAGGACATCATACTTGTCTCGCTGTTCCGGTGTAGTGTAGCTCTCCATGCACGCAAAGAGTACGCCCAGAGGCAGCAATGGGTCCATAATGGACAATAAACGAGCTGGCGATGATAGCTCACACATGTACGTGCAGGGATAGACGGGCATCAGTGCAGTGGGCAACTGTACATTCTCAAGCAGTGCTTTGAGGGCCACTACGAGCGTTAGATTACCGCCTGTCATTCGTGATCAAAGATTAAATAGATAAATTAGTCCAATAGACATCACCACGCCTATAAATATGATCTCATATGATTACACATATGGAAAGAAGCACGATGTCTTCGCCGATGCGATTTAAAGTATCATACAAAAAAGACCAGGGCATACGAGCTTGCCCGTCGTAGTACAAGTGCGTGCGGCGTGCTTGCGTGATGTGGGTGGAAGCGCCAGAAGAACTCTCGTAAAGCACGCTGGAAGAACTTAAGGTAAGGTGTTGTGCAGATGCATATTTGTTCTATTTATAGCATACTAATGCATACCTGTGCTATTTTTAAACTTTTGAGCATAGGCACCCTTCACACTTGTATGGGCTGAAGTCGACGGCAACCCGAGACTAGAAAATTAAATCTAAGCTAGGGCAGTGCTTTGATACACTAGTAGATTCTGAGTGAACCACGACGGATGTATACCAGGGACATACAGACCTCTGCAGAAACAACGTTCACATGCACAAAGAACACACCACATACACGCGCTGTCAAGATCAGCACATGCATACAATACCCATCATATACACGCCTACACCATGTACATACGCACATGGTTCGCATACGCAAGTTCATACAAGTCACCCAGCACCAAAACAATCCCAACACCCTCGTACACCACGCCCAGCCCGATTACACAGCACTAATGAGAATATGCCATTCCAACGCAATATAGTACACGGATCCAAAGTATGGTGTACCTGCAGAATCACCCGCCAAGACTACCTGAGTAGGTGGAACAGATTATGGCTTGATGTTAGGGAGTCGGCTAGAGGTGAATGAAGAAGACTAGCATAAAGTACAGATACAAAGTAGGACCATGCTATAAAATTTGACAGCACATGCGCGTTAAGTGAGATGTAAAGGAAGGCTCTGGTTAGTGCTCTGTGCATGCTTTACTACAGGTTCATCACACTTGTAAACGATATTGCATATGGTGCCGAATTGCTTCCGCTGATGTGCGCAAACTTGCGCATTACGTGAACTTGATATATAATCGAATACTTCAAAATGTATTGCAATCAATTAAGAGGGATTGATTGGTTATGGATAACCCATTAAGAGAGATTGATTGATTACGGTTAACCCATTAAGAGAGATTGATTGGTTATGGTTAACCTATAAAGGGAGATTGATTGATTGCGGTTAACCTAATAATAGAGATTGATCCATTATGGTTAACCTATCAAGAGGGATTGATCTAATACAAGAGGTTGATTGGTTATGGCTAACCTATTAAGAAGGATTGATTGATTACGGTTCACCCATTAAGAGAGATTGATTGATTATGACTTACCCATTAAGAAAGATTGATTGGTTCTATTAAGAGAGATTGATTGGCTTTAGATAACCTATTTTGATAGATTGCTTGATATAGCTAACCTATTAAGAGATATCGACTAGGTATGACTAGTCTATTAAGAGGGGTTGATTGGTTATAGTTAATCTATTTTCAGTTGAAATCAACTATATTAAAGACGAGCGTTGGCAAGAGCTCTGGTATCAGGCAGACTCGGCTATAGTGTAGATATCGGAATATTTAAACGCAATATCACATTGACACCAATTACCACATATAAAATGATAGCAAGCGATACACAGCCCACATTTCTTTGTGTGCTTAGCTCTACACTGACCAAGCAAGACACATACCCTCTCGGCCGAAGAACCAAGCATATGAGCATTTGCCAGAGCCCAACAGTACACATGGAAGCACTCATTGAGAGCCCGAGGGTACGGGAACTCTGGCGCCAACGAGTAATCCACACTGAGTATGGGGACACCTATAGTCTTGGCCCAATGCCGTAGGTATATCTCGTGACTCTGCGAACTCTGGGACAAGAACCCGCCCCCATGGAAGTGGATGACGAGCCCTGTACATCGAGAAATAGGGTCAGACTTGGTAGTGTGTGCATGTGTCTATATGTGTATGTGTACACATTTACTGGTATCATGTCAGAAGATTAATGGGCTTGATAGTCACTGGATGCGTGCTTCTGATCACTACGGCAGAAGCTCGCCCATGTGGAGATTCATATCATACGACTACCCCTGTGCATCGGAAGTGTATGCTTGTTATCTATTGTGATGGATTTGATTGCTCAGAGCTACATGAAGATAGGAAATACTACAAATTGCAAAACCGAATAAGTGCTATGGTAGCTTTGCAAGGTATGAGACATACTTTCAGACGATTGAAGTCGTTTACGTGTCTTATAGACGTTTGTTCTTATTTTCATAATGCAAAAAAAAATAACTCAAAAACTCTCAAATTAGCGATTATTTAGAGTCCTGGAACAGGAAATCGAAGAACATTATGGTGAGTGCTAACGAACATTCCTCGACCATTACAAATCATACGCGCTAGTGTCATTATATATACATACCGGGAGAAACCGCTGCAGTGAATTTGCTCTTATTCTCCTTGTAAAACTGCTCGTATCTGTGCAAATGCTTCGTTTCAAAGACCTGTGGGCAAAAGGAAGGGCAAAGCATGATGATGTTTAGGTATACAGCTGTGTGTGTGATACATTAAGACATGAATATAGCACTTTGAGTGATGGCTAATAGATAGCCTTACTGTTTGTCTGTTGTCCTAGAGGTACATTCGATGCTTAACGAGTACATAGAATGCTTGCGAAGTAATGTATATATGACCGAGTGCTTACCTGCCCATCATTCCAGGCATATGAGATCAGCCGCACCTGGACATCTTTAAAACCTTCTGGTTTGCTGCTATCCGGTGGAAACACTATCTTGACCGCTGTGCCATCGCCATTGGACACGAGCACCTCTTCGGCGGGGATGAGGAGCACCTGGGGTAATAAGCACATCGGAACATGCGGAATGTAAGTGAATATAAATACGTATATTTGAATAAATCCAGATAAATGTGTATGTCTACGTACCATATAAATAAATACGAGTATAAAAGTTGAAGAGTTTAAATGTATTCAAAACCGCTAAAATCATAAGACGTTAGTACGAATCTTCAAGCTAGTTGCAGAATGGTAATCTCTAAACCACGTATTTTCTCAATGTATAGTTAGCGAGTGTATTGTATCAGTGTGTCTGCGTTGCAAATACAAACGACCATGACATACTCGGTTGATGGCGACAAAGGGAGCCAAGATTTTGCCAGCATGCTTGGCGGGGGTGTTCTCTGTCAAATCCCAGAAACTCTGCGGGTTTGGGGGACGGTAAAAAAAATTGATTAACCTTAGGCTGATTACGGCCAGGGTATGCGTGTGCGAATGGAATGGGTCGACATAGAGTGTAGACTCTTAAGGTCTATGGTATCCCTTCTTCGCACACTTCCTATATCGGATGATATATGCACAGACCTGTATACCAACAACGCTCGACAACTATAACATACTCTGTAGACCAACATTACCCTTGCCAACCCGACATCTGATCTAAACCACTATAACGTTTGGCATTCCTAGTCAACTGACGTATCGAACCTTGAGCAGGGAGATATCTTGCTTCATGCCTATTTCGCTCATGACATTTCCCCTGATGCGCTTGTCAATGAGCATCTCCGCATTGTTCCGCACCGATGAAATGAGATTGCTGAAGTTCATCTGCGCCAGAGAGCGTTGTGTGTCCTTGACGTGACTGAACGATGCCATGGCCGTCAGTATGACATCAAAGACCTGTCCATGAGTATGTGGAGATGTACGTGTAGTGATAAGCATAACCATAAAGCGTCACTACTGTACACATAATTGTGAAGAAAGCCAGACCGTCATTTCGTTGAAAGACGCTATGACCATGTGTGTAAAAAAGAGGATTTATGCATATGCGTAGGCAAATAATAAAAGGTAGTGATTACATATTAAGGTCGATATAGCTAGTGGCATTTAAATGTTGTCTTTCCATCTTGATATAGCTGAAGGATACAGGTGGCGAGACTATGACATCGATGACCTTTTTGTGTGCTTTCAGGTATGAGTATTCCTATGCAGAATCATCACAAACTGACAGGGATGCAGCCTTAGCTTCAAGGCTTTATCCTAGGATATGTACAAGGATACGGTTTCAAACGCATAGACACCGAAAATTGGGACACTTATTTAAACTTTCAAACATAAAAAGGCCTTCTTCGCCGAAGAGAATATGGCCACGATTTTGCTACTGCTGAGTTATCGCTGAGTTATCTCGAAATATATGCCAAGTATAGCCAAAAACAAGCACAACGTAAGCAGAATGGCGTGTTTTAAATTGAAACTAACAAACAACAGAACAACACGACACAGAACATTCCCTATCAGATACATAGCCAATGTTTCAGATCCCTTTACTACTATTCAACAACCTACATTTACTATCACTGTTCGATACCGACAATTCAGTAGAACGTCATTGCCACAGAGTACCTCACACTACTCTTTCCAGTCACAAAAAGCACCAGGAAATCCCTTACCTTGACCATAGCCTTGGGATACTGAAAGCCAAACCGCATGCCGTAGAAGTGGTGGCGTGGCATGGCCATAGTGAGCGTAATCAATTCCTGGATGACATTGCCGAAGAACAGACTTGCCAATTCATCCGACGGCGTCGGTGTAGTCGCTCGTGACAGCCCGTTGGCCGCAGCAGGAAGAGAGTCCAGGGCTTCGACAGATAAGGTGTTGTTTGTAACATTGATAGCATCTTCGGTGATCAGAGAGGAAGGATCGAGTGCCTGAGTTGGTATTGTGTTGTGCATATCGTCGGTACAGCTGGGTGGCTCACCTGGTGGTGTGCTGTTAGTGTCTTTGGCACAGTCGATTGATTGCACCGACAAGGCCTTGTCCATTCGATCGCCTTTGAGTTGTTCCTTGGCTTCTCGACCGGTGCTTGGTGCTGTAAATTTCCCAGATATAGATATGAGTCAAACGCAGGCATGTATGCAACACCGGTGGAGTAAAGCCAGGATAAAATTGTTTTACAGTTCGGGTAAAGCTAGAATACAGCTGGTGCATAGACGGGGGTAAAACAGACATGGAGTCTGAACTAGGGTTGGTGTGAAATCAGAATAAAGTGGGAAAAAGAATACGCATGGCGTACCTACCCCGTACCCAGCAGCTAAAAGGTGGACGTACTGTACATACCGCAGTGAAGCGAATTAAAATAAACAAATGATAGAACAAAATGCAGACATTCGTAATTCTACAGGTGAGTAGCATGACGCGAGGATCATGATAAACCTAAATGTGGATACTCTAGATTCTACAGGGGAGTGGCAAAACGTGAGCCAGAAGGTTGGTATGACGAGTACATCGTAACGCTGAAGTATCACTGTCATGGCATAACTACGAGTGGGATTAGCCGCAGAGCGTATTGGTGACTGCAGAGGTGATTGCCTTGGCATACTCAATGTGCATTCGCTTGAGCACACGTCCCCATACTTGAACGGTATCCACGGACACAAATGACATAACCCACACAAACTCGGACTAGAATAAATACATCTAACATATACAGATATACAGGCATACGCTACAACCTAACACTAAAACTGCGATGTATTTATGAGATGATACATATAATAAATCTGCACAGTCTTCCAGACCTCCCGGTGTGTGCTGACGCAACTCCGCACACTGATATAAAGTACAGCCTCACAATAGCCCCACCAGCGACATATTACAACACAAACCAATGGATGTTTTGTACAACGGTATGTCTATTACATACAATTCCCATACAATAACATATGCATTCCAAGTATTTGAAGATCTGTATACCACATACAAATTCCATGGCCTTTCACGGCGAGAGCCAAGATCTGATGCAGCATTTCCCTGCGGCAAGCAAAGGTGTTCAAGTGTGCTGAGAGTTTAGAACACATGCGCATGGCTTGGTTAGAGTTGACGAGCTCGCTCACTGAGAATGCAACTTTGCTTCCTTTCCTTACTTATTCCAATAGATGAAATGATACTCACATCATGTGCTTTGTATCGTGTGCGCGTGTGCGTGCAACTGGCCATAGGCGTACACATCGCAATAACGCACGGCATGGCGTTTGGGATTAGCGGGTTCATTGTGTGGCTATTCCGCGTCGAGTGTCTGCAGCACTTGCAAAGTGTTTGGGGTGTACAGATATCTAATAATCCAAGTGTGCATTCAAATGAACAGACTCCCAGCAAACTGTAGAACTATGGAGACAAATCATGGAAACGCGATCGAAGTCTGAGTTTCTGGTATACCAAAGTGTGTAGGGGAACCCTAAACGTGTCATATGGGGAGATAATCGTTGTCAAAGCGCTGAGATACGTAAATACAAACCAGAACCACATCCTGGCAGAAAAACACGTATAGTATAGCTCTCAGTGGGTGCATATATCTCGCAAGTACCTTACTTTAAGCACCATCGAAACAGGAGGTTGACCCGAAACACATATACTGACGCCTCTATGTACTTGAGAAATCACAGAACGTAACTATACATGCGACCTGAATGCCACGTATGGTCCTCAACTGCATATTGCGCGCTCGAGAACTTGGTTAAGTGTCGTTCACACCAATACATTCTACCGTGAGCCAACATGTCTGACATCTACTGGAAGCTCATTTAATAGGCCAATAAATATGGAACTACACACGGACAAAAAAAAATACAACTCGGAACAGGCACTACCATACAGGGCTCACAGCATACAGGCCCCATATATGGCTTACAGCATACTATTGAATCACTATATCGCTGGGTTGTGCAGGGTTGCATGGTGGAGACGGTATTTGTGACGATGTGTGTGAAGTGTGGTGTTGACTGTCTAAACTTCGCATCAAAACACTATGAGAATGGAATACTGTGATATGAAGTATACACCATTTAAAGCATATGCCAAGCATTTCGAGACTGAGTCAATACATTGAAAGGTTTATGAAAATGGCTTGTAGGCGATAAAACCGCCACATAAATAGATAGCTTACAGTATGTTGTTGTAGTCTTCGACAAGCTCAAATGTGCGGGCTTGTGCATTAGAGATGGAGTTCTTGACACCCTTCTTCATAATGGCGCGGAGTTGCACATTGCAGGAGGCCGCGCACCGCCCAGCTACTAGTAGTAGAGATCTGTATATACACAATAGAATGTATATGGAAAATGTGAGCAGAGACCTGTATATACGCCATAGGAAGTATATGGCAAATGTGAGTGGTGACCTGTATATACACAACAAAGTGTATATGACAAAGTGAGCAGATAACTGTATATGAACAACAGGATGATTAGTATAAATGTGTTGGCCGATAGTGCACAGTGGAGTAGGTTACAAAACGCCACCCGTAAATCATCCTAGTGTAAGTTGCAGTATAATGAAACTACACGGTATGCGTGGTGAACGTGTGGAAGACCTACTAAGTTACATGATATAATACAACTATTGAGCTAGCTAATATTAAGAAACAACTGAAGCAAAAGATCGTACTTAAAACAAATACACCTGGAGATTCTACACGGTATATATGAGTAAATGTACAAGAACTAAAGTACCTTGTACTGACGCAAGAAGAGATATTAACAAAGATTTATATAGACTATTTATATATATATATATATACATACATACATGCATACATACATACATACATACATATATATATATATCTATATGTAGATATATATAGATATATAAATATATGTATGCATGTATATATATAAATATACAAATATATATATATACATATATATATATATACAGATATTAAGATAGGTATATATAAAACATAAAATATACTCATATATATATACATATATACACATATACTCATATATATATACATACATACATATATATATATGTACATATGAAAATATTAATATACATACATACATACATATATATGTATAAATATATATGTATATAT